CACACACACACACACACACACACACACACACACACACACACACACACTGTAGTTGTAGATAGACAGTTGTAGATAGAGATATATTTTGAAGTTGTGCAGTGGATGCCGTTGGCAAAAGTCAGATTGACTGTCGGTGTGTGCGCGGTGACACACACACACACACGCGGACCCTGACCTCCTGACCTCTTAGCTGTCTTCTATCTCTATGTATATAAATTTCAGTCCTTAAAGAAGCTCGATCCACACCTTGCCTCCAATCACACGCTCCCTCAGCAGACCACTGTCTGTCTGCCCCCTGCTGTTTGGATGAAGTACTGCAGCAGACTCTCTGGCTTTGACAATGAACTTGAGTGGAGTCAGCATGCTGCAGCGACTCGGTTGTAGCGACTGAAGCTGTCAATCAACGGCGATGCATTAACACACACACGCGTCAGTGTCATGTTGAAATGAGACGACAGTGGGGCCAATGTGGCGCTGAGTGAAAGCCTGTTGTTAATAAACATTGCATCCTCTGGACGCTGAGACCCAAATTGGATCCAGATGTGTGGCTTTCTGGGCCTTTGGACATTGTAAACTGAGGTATCTATCCTTTTCATAATAACTCAAGCAGGACTTATGGCCGTCTGGCAAAATTTGATTTTTACATGATTTTTGTATCATTGTAATAAACTGATTGTCAAGTATTTCATTTGCTGTCTTTTGTGACCGACTCGTACAGCAATCAGCTGGTTGGGCTGACCTCAACACCTGTTGTAGTGCTAAAAGTTTCCAACTTTGGTTCCCAGCGCTACGTGCGACGTAAAGCAACGCGTGTCCATTAGTTTCATATATGAATGAGATGCCAAAGTATGTTAATGTGGCCTGTTGCAGATAATATACTCCAGCACGAGTTAATGGAGTGTGTGTGTGTGGTTCAGGTTTCGTTGGTGAAGAGTAACGGAAGCTTTCACTAAAGCTCTGTCACACGTGCAGCCGTCTGGGAGCTCTGTGTGTGTGTGTGTGTGTGTGTGTGTGTGTGTGTGTGTGTGTGTGTTGGCGTGGGCCGTCCAGATGTTGCTGGAAAAGTCTCGTCAAGAGCTCGTCCACCGGCAAGAGAGAGGAGGGTTATGAGCCCAGGCAGGCCTTGTTTCCATGGCAACAGCGGATGTTTCCAAAATCGTTTTAACCGCAGTATCACACACAGACGTTCAGAGTGTGTGTGTGTGTGTGTGTTGGCGTTGGCTGCACTGCATTTTCTCTGGAGCGTCTCTTAGGAAAGCTTTGGGGACGTGGAGAAAGTCCAGAGGAACTTTCCCTTTATGGCGCTGACGAACTGAGTTATAAGTCAGACTCTCCGCTCTGTACCTGAAAGTGTCGGTTAATGACAGAGAGTCGGCTTCACCGCGCCCGTGCTCCTGTTACACACTGAGAGAAACAGGTGTGTTAGTGTGTGATAGGGAGATGTGGTCGTGTTTCATGACGTTTTGGACCCCACACTGTCTAACTGCAGGTCCTGCATTTCTTTATTCTCTACTTGAAACCACATTTAGGATGTATAGTACATTGACTTTCAGAGTGAAATATAGAAAAATGTGAGCAACAAGTAGAAAAAACTAGAAAAATTGGACCATAGCGATGAGGTCTTTAGTGTTTTATTCCAATTGAAGTGATTTTTTTATTTTATCTGGTAGTGTTGGACACAGATATCTGGGTGTAGCCGATTAAAGGAACATTATCAGTTTGGTGACCTCTCCAAAGAATTTATTTCTATATATTTTAAAACCAGTAAATAATTAACCGACCTTGATGAAAAATGATGTACAAAGTAAAACTCATCAGTTCACCTGCACGACACCTCTGACCTTCTGCAACCTGTTCCACAGTTGTTGGTACCGATCATTGGTGTGCAGTATGGAGACTCAAAATATGAGCTGACATCGAGTATCAAAGTCTAAAGAGTCTTCTTCTCCTTTCTTTTCTCTCCATTCTCTCCATCTCTCCAGAGGGAGTTTGTGGTTCCACCTCCTCTCCTCTTCAGGAAGCTGAGCAACCCCGACCTGTCGCCCGCGGCCACCGCCGCTACCAAATCCAAACTGCACCGACAGCTGAGCCAGGACGAAAGCTGGACCCGACGCAGCAGCCTGGCCATGACCGGTAACACACACACACACACACACACAGTCTCCACACACACGGGGCCGATGTTACCTGAGGTCATACCTTGATCCCTGATCTCTTGCGCTCTTAATCCGGCACCAATCCGCCACGTCCGTAAACGGTCGTGAAGTGAATATTCTAGCCCGGATTAACTGCCAAACAGAGGCCATGTGACAGTACGAGTCGGATGTGAATCAGCAGCTCAGACATGTGTGGCCGGGTGTATTTTAGGTTTTCACAAAGACCGGTTTGTTCTTTGGGTTTTCTTTTGGGTTTAGGAAATTGACAGCTGCATTGGGAATGATTAATGCGAGCTGTGATTGAACTTGAGCCAGCTTGATTCTCATCCAGTCATTCAGGGTGGAGACCGACAATATGCCGATGAATCACCAAACCGTAGTGAGAAGCAGACGGGGGACTCCAGTCCAGTGTGTCCCCCAGTGTAACCGAGTCATTCCCTTTTCGCCTCACAGGTAAGCAGCTGCTGCCTCTGTCCAGCAGTCTGCACGCCGGAGTGAGCCAGCTGGCCTGGCAGGGGCCACCGGGAGGTTGTGGAGGGCCCGGGGCCACGGGGGGAATGTCCGCAGGAGGAGGAGGAGGAGAGGGGAACAACCTGGTCCGCATGAGGAGCCAAACCTTGGGGCAGTCTGCTCCGTCTCTCACCGGACTGGTCAGTGCACTAACGCAACACACACACACACACAGACACACACAGACCGCAAAAGTCCTGCTCACCATAACAAGTTATTTACCGTTTTTTCCATGATGTACATTTTAGCCTCTAAAACTTTAACGGACACAAACGGGCTTCGAACCGACCCTGTTGGGTCTTCACCAGGGAAATAGCTGACATGACAAAATTTGCAAAAATGATTGCATCATGGGTGCCACCTTACCACTGAAACTTGTTTGCATGATTTATTTGACAAAAATCTGTCTTAAATTTGCTCTTTATCCTGCAAAACAATACATAAACATGAAGTGCGGTCAGGTTGTCTGATATCTGCAGACTCACATATGGAACCCCGTCTGTTGGACTGGAACCCTGCCAGCTGAATGCAGGGAGGCAGACACAGGATGACTCAGGGTTTTTAACACACACACACACACACACACTGAGGCACTTAACATCCACAGGCTTGTTTGCTCAGTGCTGAGAGGAAGAACTGGAGCAGAAATGCCAGTGTGTGTGTATGTGTAAACTTCTCTATTTGTGCGTGCATTCGCTGGCTGTAATGGGTCAAGATACAGCACAGTGGCTGCTGTAGTCTAGATGTCTGCAGTGTGTGTGTGTGTGTGTGTGCGTGTGCGCGTGAGCGTGCGCGCAAGCTCTTCTCTGACCCCTGCTGGTTGTAGAGGGGATTACTAGAGGAGCAGCTGTAAAATGTAACATGTCCAGTCACACTGGCACTGAACTCAACATATATTTATTAAAGCTCCATATGCATTCCTTAGTTGTGAGGTTCTTCCCGTCGTCCTTTGAAAAGGTGTTTACAGAGCTGTTTGTGTTTTAATATGCACAGTCTGTGGCTGTGTGGGAGTTCAGCTAATAAATATATAATGTAAAAAAAAATATCATGTCAGATGTTGGTCACAGTGGGAACTCCTTTAATTACTGATAACATTAAAAACAGCTTTTCAGTTTACACAGACATGAGGTGAGTGAATCGAGCAAATTCCTCACATTTGAAAGACTGATTAGGGATTTTATTCCCTAAATGACTTCATTTATCAAAGTAGTCTCCCCGCCTACTGTTATACATGACTAGTCATTTACAGAAAGAAGAAAATCTGTGGAGATACATGAACTGATCAAACTGCTTTTTCTTTTTAAATGTTTAAATGGTATAATAATAATAATAATGTAGAGTGCGACTCGCGTGCCAGTTGGTGGCAATTCTGAGTAGCCTGTGGTTTCCTGAGAACGCCCAAACATGACATCCCCAGCTGAGACATGTCGTATGCTTTCAGCCTGTAAACACGCGGCAAAACAAGAGGGCTGTGGCCTGATGGAGATCAATAAACATACACATATAAAACTCCCTCTCTGCTACACTCAAAACCAAACAAACGAAAAACACATTAAAATAGCGAAACTAGCAAACTTGTGTTCAGTTTCCTGTTTTGTTTGTTAAGGTGCAGAAGAATCTGGTGCAATCACCCTCTGTGATATGGCATCATCTTACATAATACATAAACATGTAGTACAAAAATACTAATAAGACATATGGCTATAAATCACATTTAAATGGCTGAAGGAATGATTTCTAGAGGATCAGGTTGGGATGAGAAGTTAAACAATGACGTGACTCCACACTGTGAACCTGGTTTACACACAAACTGCCGTGGGAAGAACCACCAGCAGATGGCATCAGTGTCTAATCACCAGTAGCTCTCATAAAGTCTTGTGTGCCATACATTAAGCCACCTGTGTGCACTGTGTGTGTGTGCACTGTGTGTGTGTGCACTGTGTGTGTGTGCACTGTGTGTGTGTGCACTGTGTGTGTGTGCACTGTGTGCGTGTGCACTGTGTGCGTGCGCACTGTGTGTGTATGATGAGGACAAATTGTGACTTCTGATACTATGCCGGTGATGAAAAGCCTCTGTGGACCACCGTCTGTGGTGAGAGTGAAGGTGGACAAAGATCTAAAATCAAAATGTAGGATTTCATCTCCGCCGCCAGCGGGAAATCGTGATCCGCAGAGTTATTCTCGTGGAGTAAATAATCCCCGGCCATTCTATTTCTCAAGGGCAAGTTTGTGAATGTTTTCCTTTTCCTCGCTCCACACCTCGGCTCTCTGTCTCTGTTTCTCAGCAAACAGCAGTTCATGCACATCGTACTTCAGTGCGGTGTTGCTCGTCGGGGTCACGGCTGTCAGAGTTTTTATATTACCGGCCTTAAAGCCCCATCTCACGCTTTGAATTGACTTACTTTAGCATTTCAGAAGACCACCTGAGCCCCTCTGGCTCATCTTTTTTTTTTTCTTCTTCTCTGCTGCTTCTCTTCTTACCGTCTGTGTCATATCTTATGAAATACTCTACTGTTTTATATTTTGTGCAGGATGATTTTCATAGGATCTGTATTTTCCTCTTCCACTTTTTGCTTGTATTGTCGTGATTGTTACATGTTGATGGTGTTGGTTAGATGGTGTGGAGTAAAACCAGCTGTCCTATTTCAGATCAATGTCCTCTTGATGAGGCACACCTGTACAATCTACTCCAATGCAACAGCTTGACACCGAGGCCGTGTTGGTATAGAAGCATCTGCCTTCAACTATCTATATGATATCGAATAAACAGTGAATCCTGATACGTCACCTGGCCCTTGTTGACATGACTTCACTTTAATCGCTTTACTGCGGCTGCAGGAAGAGGATTAGTGCTCCACGATGTGCCCCCCCCCCCCCTCCGTGTTTGCGTGGATTAAAAAGTGTGCGTTGCCACCCGGGATGTTAACGGGCAGAGTGTTTGTGCTGTTTGCACCTGTGTTGCTAGTGTGTCCCTGTGTTTTTGTGTGTTATTGAGTGAAATGAATGGAGCTCACGGAGTGTGTGTGTATGTGTATGTGTGTGTGTGTGTGTGTGTGTGATGGGTAAAGCATTTGCGGAGGTCCAGATGGTGTTTACCTCTTGGCTAATGGACGAGGGTCCGTCGCTCCTGTTTCTCCTCTCTCTGACACGCTTTAAGACTAACAACCAAGTGTTGCCAGGTAACCTGTGTGTGTGTGTGTGTGTGTGCGTGTGCGTGCGTGTGCGTGCGTGCGTGTGTGTGTGTGTGTGTGCGCGCAGCATTTGAAAAGGAAAGAAGAATTAACCTTCTATTTTGTCCAGTGTCTTTGAGAGCTCGCTTCTCTTTCTTTCACTGAGCAGCTTCATTCACTGTGGAGGTGGAACTTTGCAATAACACACACACACAAACACACACGATCAGATTAGAATATTATTAGCATTTGTTTTGGAGGGGAACAAAAAAAAGAAAATAAATGAAAGACTCCGCTGGAAGGAGGATACAGGGCTGAAGATGAAAGAGGAGTGCTGCTGTATTGTTGCAGCCCGTGCTCAGGCACATCATTAGATGCAGTGAGACTCTGCTGGGAGGCAGACACTCTCACACACACACACACACACACACACACACACACACACACACACACACACACACACAAGGAGATCACAACCAGATGAATACAAAAACAAATAAACCTGTTGACCCTCTTGTCATTCACCAGTTGCTTTAAACCACGGGTTGGCAACCTCTTTGATATGAAGTGCCATTTTTATACTTAAATATACATGAGAACATGTTGAATAATTACCGAGTGTCCTCCGCCGCTACTGACGGAGACAATAACGGAGGTGGATGGTTTAACGGCTCGTTGATTACTCCTGTAGTTTGGACATCCCAGCTGATCTGGAACCCAATCCGACCAAGACCGTTGACAGGGAGATACAATTCTATACCGTCATCCAACACTTCACCTCAATTTGGACTTTTAATGGTGTATTTGTCTTTTTTTAGCACAAAAAGTAAAAATCATCTATTTTTGTTTTTGTCCGTTGGTGTTCTCACAGGATTTTAATGTTTGTGCAGCAATAGGACTCTAAATGTTGTCTCAATGTTGAGTTTGTACACCATTATCTTTACTGTTAAAAGAAGAAGGTTGGGAGTTTGAAGAGTCCACACTTTGGTAGTATCAAAAAAAGACAACGCCCCCAGAGACACTTGGACCAACGGGCTGAAAGCAACACGTACTCATCCAGTCTTAATTCCTCATTTCCAACAAAATACTGTTATTCACTTGAAGTTCGCACAACATTTTCACTGAAACGTGACTGTGGTGCTTGCAGGTGCGCCACAGATGCACACAGCAGCTACTCTTGCTTACGTTTAAAGAGCCAATCATGTGAAGTCTGCAGAGCTAACGCAGCTCTGCACTTTTGTTCAGTCGAGAGCAGAAAGAGGCCAAATGAAGCCAGCAAACACTTGTGTGTGTCTCTGAATGCACTGTTGTTGCTTGTGAAAAGCAGCGCAGAGTAGAAGTGCATCAGGAGCAGCCACTGTGGTGATGACTCATGCTGAAGGTTGGGCTCTCTCAGAGGAGACGGGCAACAGAAGAAGCACAGGGTGTGTGTGTGTGTGTGTGTGTGTGTGTGTGTGTGTGTGTGTGTGTGTTGTGAGTAGCTTATCTTCTCCTTGCATATATTCATGATGTCTGTCCTGCTTATTTTCACATTCACTTGACACACGCACACACACACATTGACACACACCTCTTTATCTTGCTGCAGGCTGTCAGTTGTCCTTGTCATCAGCATGATTCATAGCTAAAGGAGGAAACTGTGTTCCTGTACTATTCTTACCGCAGGACACGCACATGCCCGTCTCCTTTCAATGCACAGACACACACACAGTATGTATAGAGAAATACACACACGTTTACTTTACATTCTTGAGACAACAAAGATGGCACCTACTGAGGGCTGTTTGTTCTTTAAAAATTGTCACTTCCACTGTTGAATTTTCTTTTCTTTTCTGTGTGAACCGTGAGTGAAGCACAGAGCTTATAAGAAGTTCTCTAGTACGGCATGCACACATGCCTTTATACTGTATGCATTGACCTGTAAGACAGAGACTCGTATGGATGAGACATTCCATGCATTCCTCTGTCTT